ATGCGTTGGCATTGTACTGAGAGTACTTGGAGGAAAACAAATGCAATGAAAATGAGTAAAAATGGAAGAAATGGCCAGCTGCAATTTTTCTGTGTTGTCCGAAGCTTGTAAAATGAAGAAATAGCTCGTGTTCCCTTTTTTTCTTTTTTCATTCAACTTTAAACAACAGAAATTAATTCTTAATAGAAAATTTATTGCCATTAAAGTGCTTTAAATCCAAATCTAAAGGGCTAAAACCAATTTTAAATTTTTGTGAGGATTTTTCCTTTTTTTTAGAAATATAATGCAAAAAATACCTCCTAATTTTATAAGTATAAGAAAAACTAACTAATATCTAATCAATAAAATAAAATAAAACAAGAATAAAGCTAAAATTGAATTTAATGAGAGATAAAACTAAAAAACCAAATAAATAAAATTTTTGGTGTCTACACCAACGTGATCGAATAATATTTAATTCGTTTGATCGGGTAAAGGTGTACTTTCTCGCACTTGCCCTAATGTGATTTATTCTTGTTCATTGGTTGTTATTGACTTGATATACATGTATATGACTTGCATACTGTTTGGAATTCTTGAAATTCTGTGGCTAGTTAATTGAGTCGAGCCGGCAAGGGTCTGGTCGATTAGATAACAAACCGTAGGTCTCTAGTTTTGTCGAGTGGAGTATTATCTTCTCGACTAATTGGTATGTTCGAGTATTACCACCAGTGTTTATCTTGGAGTTCGGGGCCGTTAAGGGGTTTGATTGGTGGACGGAGATTGGAGTTAAGTGGTGTACTACTGGACTGGTTACTTTACTTGATAGTTGACGGAGTGTCAACTACTACTTAATCAAACTATGGTGGAGCTAGTTTGCAAAAGTGACTGTATCCTTTTACTTGAAATGTTGAATACTTAATGATTGGCTATACGAAGTGTTATTACTCATTTTTTTGACTTGTTATGCTCGCCACTTTGATACTTTCACTTTTAATTAATGGTCAACTTGCTATTTGGAACCTCACTGAGCTTTATCTCACTCTATTAGTTTTTTTTTCCTTACAGGGGGTACGAGCGAGGGCGTGAGGCTAGTACAGGCTAGCATAGTCTAGTTTTTGAAATTTTGACGATTGTACTCGCGCTAATGCTCAATTAGGGTTGAATGTATCTGGAACACATATCTTTTGTTTTGTTTGGGATTGTATGAATGTTTGAGATAGAAATGAATGTAAATGTACGTTCCAAGTTTAGGAACTATTATTTCATTGACTCTTGAGATTGTAAACTATTTTACTTGAAATAAGTGAGTGAGTCCTGGCGAGAGTTGGGCAGGCGGTCCACTAAACCCTGGGGTACACCCTAGGGGGAGGTGGGGTCATCACAAGTGATATTAGAGCCTAGGTTTGAATTGGTCTAGGTAGATTAAGTGATTTATACATGATACAGCTTGAGTATTATTGTTTAAGTGTGAAACCCTAGAGAATAGGTGCTTGTCTTGGTTTAAATTGCTTATTCTTGCACTGTTACTTGTACTGTAGGCAATGGAAGGAAATGGCGAGAATGGGAATGCCGAACGACCTTGGCGAGTACTTACCTACCAGGAGCATCCCGGAGGGCCTGTATGTCGATGGGCTCCAAGATGTAGGGTCCAACACTGTGACTGTTGGTGGACCTATTCCTACCCTGATAGGGTAGCTCTTGCTATAGCCGATGAGAGGAGACGATTGGGTAGTGCCGATCGTAGATGCCAGAAGGAGATTGAGCGTCTGCAGGCTGTAGTGAAGATGCAAGCAACTAGGATCGGTGAGCTTGAAACTTATATTCTTGAGGAGCAAGAGCGAACTAATGCCTTTTGAAAGCAGGCTCAGGAGGCTAATGGTCGCGTTGCTCGAGTAGTAAGGGAAGTAAGATACCGAACCGATAATATTTTGACTGAGTGTGGGGCTCTGGTGGGGGAAGTAGTACAGAACTTGGCTGAGGGAGGTCAAGGGAACGCTGCCCCTAGTGATCTCGAGAAGGATCCTGAGAAGGATCCCGAGGAGGAGGCAGAGTCGGTCGGATCGGTGACTGACTAGACTAGGGATTTAGGGTTTCGAAGGATTTCGTGAGGTAGTTAGGGACATAGTTGAGGGTGACACGTCACCTTTTGTTTTTGATATTGATGTGTTAAGGTTGATATACATAGTATTTGCTTTTTATTCTATGTCCCTTGGCTGTTATCAGCTCTTGACTTGATTATATTCGCATGTACAGTACTCCATGACTGGTTATGTGGTTTATTTTGATATGTATATAAAGGAAATGTTTATTTTAAACGTGTTTTATTGCCTTTACTTTATGATTTAGAAATGTTTTTATTGAGCTTTATTGCCACTTTATTTTGCTTATATCTATATAATCTATTATCCAAAAGAAGCATGGAAGGCAGGAGAAGTCAGGACCGTGAAACTACCCAAGGATGCGGTTCTAGCCGTGGCTGTGGGGTTAGACAGACACAAGAACCAGTACAAGAACCGAGAGAGGAAAGAGGTGCAACAGTTGAGCCACAACCTGGATCCCGAGCCAAAGGAGGGGATCAGGTGGCAACGACCATCCAACAAATGACCAATATTCTCGTTCATTTAGTAGAGCAGCAGGGTCAAGCCCCTGTAAATCAGCCTAGAGACCTTGAAGTAGGGGAAGATAGGGCCCTAGAACGATTCCAAAACTTTTACCCTCCCAAGTTTTTTGGAGGACCGAATCCTGAGGTAGCTGAGAGATGGTTGGAGACGATGACTAATATTTTTGTTGCCTTAAACTATATGGAGGAAAGACAGGTGCATTTTACTGTATTTCAATTTGAGGGATCAGTTAGAGCATGGTGGAATGTAATTAGGGCCAAGTGGGAGAGAGAGGGGATAGCATGGATCTGGTTGAATTTCGTGCGGGAGTTTAACGAGAAATATCTCCCACCGATAGTCTAGGAGAAGAGAGAGGACGATTTTATTAATCTCCGTCAAGGAACCCTAAGTGTATCTGAGTATGAGACTCAGTTCACCAAGTTATCCAAGTTTACTCTCGAATTGATAGCTACGGAGTAAAGGAGGGTGAGGCGGTTCGTGCAGGGACTAAATGTAGAAATAGAAGAAGCCTTGGCAGCGGCACAAATTAATACATTCACGGAGGTTCTGGAGAAACCCCAAAGGATAGAAATCGTAAGAGCGCAAGTGAAGGCCTTTCATGCAAAGAAGAGGGGTGCACTTAGTGAAAGTCAGGGGCAGGTAGAAGGTGATCGGGGTATGCTACTTCCTAAAGTGGGTCGAGAAGCTGGCGGTGGAAGAATGTCAGAGACATCTAGAGGAGTTACTCCAAGAGGAGCCCTAGATGGAAGGGGACAGGCGAGAGGTGCCTCGCAGGGAGGCTAGACATCCGCCCCTCGAGTGTCTTGTGCGTACTGTGGGAAATCCAACCATAATGAGGATAACTGCTAGTGAAAGGCTTGAAAGTACTTGAGGTGTGGAAGTACTGAGTATCAGATCGCCAATTGCCCACTGATTAGTGATGCCCAACCAGCTAGCAAATCAAACCCTAAACCGACCAATGTAAGAGGGACCAGGCCAAGGGTGCCAGCTGGAGTGTACGCCTTGGACCAACAATCGGTACCTGAAACATCGGAGGTAGTGAAAGGTAAGATTCCTGTTTTCCATCGTTTGGCCAAGATTTTGATAGACCCTGGTGCAATCCATTCTTTTGTTAGCCGTACTTTTATGTGTGGAATTGATGTAAAGGCCGAAAGGCTACCATACCTAGAAGTTAGAACACCTACGGATAATTAATCTTTACTTGCTAATGAGGTGTATAGAAACTGTGACATTTGGGTTAGTGAGCAGAAATTAATAGTTGACCTTATAAGTCTAACCATTAAGGGGTATGACGTTATTATAGGGATGGACTGGCTAGCTTGTTATCATACTCGAGTAGATTGCCACACAAAGGTGGTCGAGTTTTGCATACCTAGTGAGGCGACTTTAAAACTAGATGTAAGAGCTATTCTAGCCTCATCTGCCCTTATTTTGGGAATTAGGATTAGAAAATTGCTAAATAATGGGGCATGGGGGTATCTAATTTTTCTAGTTAATACCCCAGGAGAAAAGGGTAAATTAGAAGAGATGCCGGTGATAAGTGAATATCCAGATGTATTCCCGGACGAATTGATATCATTGCCACTCAAGAGAGAAATTAACTTTAAGATTGACCTAACACCTGGAACTACTCCCATCTCAAAAATCCCTTATCGGATGGCGCCCGCTGAATTTAAGGAGTTGAAATTTCAATTGTAAGACTTGCTAGAATAGGGATTTATACATGAGAGCGAGTCACCTTGGGGCGCTCCAGTGCTTTTTGTCAATAAGAAGGACGGTAGTTTGAGGTTGTGTATTGATTATCGATAGTTGAATGCAGTGACCATTAAGAATAAATATCCTTTGCCCCACATTGACGAGTTATTCGACCAACTACAAGGGGCTGTGGTGTTTTCTAACTTAGATTTTCGACAAGGGTATTACCAATTGAGAATTAGGAAGGAGGATATGCCCAAAACTACCTTTAACACTCGATATGGGCATTACGAGTTTGCAGTGATGCCTTTTAGCTTAACCAATGCCCCAGCTGCATTCATAGATTTAGTGCATCGGGTGTTTAAACCTTATTTGGATAGGTTCGTGGTGATGTTTTTTGATGACATTCTGATGTATTTTAAGACAAAAGAGAAGCATGAACAACACTTGAGAATAGTATTGCAAATCCTTAAAAAGCACCAGTTGTTTGCCAAGTTTAGTAAGTGCTAGTTCTGGCTAGAGAAGGTATCGTTTCTAGGCCATATAATCTCAAAAGACGGACTTATCGTAGATCCGGTTAAAGTTGAAGTGGTTGCCAAATGGAAAAGGTCGGAGAATCCTACTGAGTTTCGAAGCTTTTTTGGTCTAACGAGGTATTACCATCGGTTTATAAAGAATTTCTAAAGGATTGCGTGACCCCTAATGAATTTGACAAAGAAACAAGGGAAATATATTTGGGATGTTAAGTGTGAGACTAGTTTCCAGGAGCTTAAGAAGCGATTGACCATGGCACCAGTGTTGGCTTTGCCAAATGGGAATGATAGCTATACGGTTTATACCGACGCTTCGAGAGAAGGATTGGGGGGTGTTTTAATGTAACATAGGAATGTAATTGCCTATCGGAAGTTAAAATCTCATGAGCAGAATTATCCAACCTATGATTTAGAACTCGCAGCCATTGTGTTTGCTTTGAAAAAATGGCCGCATGATTTCTATGGAGTGACATTTGAGGTATATACAGACCATAAGAGTCTTAAATACTTATTCTCCGAGAAGGAGCTAAATCTGAGACAACGTCGGTGGGTGGAGTTCTTAGAAGATTACGATTGTACCATTATTTACTATCCACGAAAGGCCAATGTTATAGCAGATGCTTTAAGTCGGAAGGCTCAATTAGCAAGTTTAATGGTAGGAAAGTGGGGCCTGTTAGAAAATGTTTGTGAATGGAACCCTCGTCTTGAGCCGCATAAAGTTATTTTTGAAAATATTGAGATGAAGTCGACAATATTGGATAGAATTAAAGAGGGTCAAAAGAAAGAGCCAACAGTACAAAAGTGGGTGAAAAGAGTGAAGAAAGGAGAATTATCTGATTTTAACCTAGGTCCTGATGGGATTCTAAGGTTCCGAAATCGCGTTTTTGTAGCAAAGGATGAGGAACTGAAAAGGGAGATTTTGGAAGAATCTCACCGCTCTAGGTATACGGTGCATCCAAGTAGTAGTAAGATGTACCAGAATCTCAAAAGTCTGTATTAGTGGGACAATATGAAAACGGAGATTGCTCAGTTTGTACAAAAGTGCCTTACGTGTCAACAAGTAAAAGTTGAGTATCAAAAACCGTCGGTCTGTTACAGCCTTTAGAGATACTTGAATGGAAATGGGAGCACATAACGATGGATTTTGTATCTGGACTATCACAAACTCAAAGGGGTCATGATGCAATTTGGGTGATAATGGACCGATTAACTAAGACTGCATATTTTCTGCCAGTTAATATGAAATATTCTTTGGAGAAACTTGCCAAACTCTATATGAATGAAGTTGTGAGGTTACATGGGGTACCAGTGAGCATAGTATCAGATAGAGACCCTAGATTTGTATTCCGCTTTTGGCAGCAGTTACAAGAGACTCTAGGAACTAAGTTGAACTATAGTACGGCCTATCATCCTCAAACCGATAGATAGTCAGAGAGAAACATCCAAACTCTTGAGGATATGTTGAGAACTTGTATTGTAGATTTTGGAGGGAGTTGGAGCCAATATTTGACACTGGTTGAGTTCGCATATAACAACATTTATTACTCGTCTATTCAAATGGCCCCATATGAAGCACTTTATGGACGAAGATGTCGATCACCGATCTATTGGGATGAAGTAGGAGAGAGGATGATTATAGATCCGGTAACAATACCGTGGGTTGAGAAAACCTATGAAAGGGTAAAAGTGATACGTCAGAGGATTCAAACGGTCCGAAATTGACAAAAGAGTTATGCCGACCATCGAAAAAAGGATTTGGAGTTTGAAGTAGGGGACAAGGTATTTCTTAAGGTTACTCCACTGAAGAGAAAGATCAAGGCAGGAAAGCAAAAGAAGTTGCAACCAAGATATATAGGACCTTTTAGTATACTTCAACGGATAGGAAATGTGGCTTATCGACTAGAGTTACTAGCTAGTTTATCTCGAATCCATGATGTTTTTCATGTTTCTTTACTTGAGAAATATCACCCGGATCCGACTCATGTTTTGCCACCAGAAGATATTGAGCTTCACGAGTTTTTGACCTATGAGGAACGGCCTATTCGAATACTAGATCGGAATGTGAAGGACTTGAGAAATAAGCAGATTCCACTGGTTAAGGTTCTATGGAAATACCATGAGGTGGAGGAAACAACTTGGGAGTTAGAGACAGACATGCAAGAGAAGTACCCTGAACTATTTACGAATAAATGTATGAATTTCGAGGTCGAAATTCTTTTAAGGGGGAGAGAGTGTGAGGACTTGCAAAATTCTCCATATTTTCTTAAAATTCCCTTTTATTTTGAATAAATTACTTTATAATATCTTTACTACTCATTTACTCCCTCAATAGTTGTAATAAATAATAGAATCAAGAGTTTTACCTTTACTTTTGTAGTTAGGGTAAACTAGAGTTTTTGCGTTGTGTGATTAATTGGTGAGGTGTGTGTACTAAATTTGGTGGTTAAGAGTGACTATTAAATAAGAGGAAATGTGTGATTAGAAGTGCTATTAATAAGTTAGTGAATCATAAGTTGAAACACAAGCACGTGAGAGTTAAGGAAAATCAGTTTGAACCGACGTGCACCATTTGCTACCGATCGAATACACCACTCGACCACTACTTTATTGCCCTAATCCTCTTGTTTTTATTTGAGCTAATCAGCCCTAAAATATCCCTTAAAGCAGCAGAAATTCATGACTCAAGAAAGGGGAGAAAAGAAAAAAAAATAAGAAGCCATCTTGTGGTGACAAGTGTTGGCAATCTAAAGATGGTTGACCAAACTAATTTCTTTCCTTCTTATCTTGCATTTTGGCTAAGTTTCCTTCACTTTGTGCTTGTCTTGGCCGAGAGCTTGAAGGGAAAAACAAGAGAGGAAAACTTTCAATTCCAACCTTGATTCTAGCATTGTTTGAGTTGAATCATCAAATCTAAACCGATTAAACATTCATCTTGGTGCTTAGGAAGCTAGGAATGGTGAAAGTCTTGAGAGAAAGAGCTTGGTTCTTCACTTTTTTCAAGTGTTTTGGAAGGTATAAGTCTAAAACTTCCTTTTTCTTTCTTATTTTAATATACAGTAGAAGCTTTGAATCTTGGAATATATTGAATGATACTCTAGTTTTGGTGTTGATTATGAAATTTCAGCTAGGGTTTGGTAATTTTTTTTAGCCTTGATTATGTTGTTTAGCTATCAAATGTTGGTATTGAGCTTGGATATGGAATTTGTGAGTGGCTTGATTGTGATTTTTAGCCTTAAAAGATGAATTTTTAGCTTTGTAAAGAAATTTCCAGCTTTGATCTTGGATGGTTACTTGTTGGAAATGAGTTATCATTTGATGGTTTTAAGCCTAGATGAAGAGCTATATTGATATTCTTGTTGTGGTGTTTGAATTGGGTTGATTTGAGGAAAAACAATGTAGCCTTAATGGCTGGAAAAATGAGTAAAAACAAGGGGAAACGCTGCCCAAATTTTCTTTCGTAGGATAAGCGAGCGAAATTGGAACTTGAGCGGCGATTCTTGGTTGAATTGAACTTGAATTGTTACAGTATGCAAGTTTCCTTTAGTAGAGGTATATAAGCTGAAATTTTGCCATATCTTATACCCTTTAAAAGTCGAAAGTAGCGACCACTAGAAATACGTTTTCCTCGTCTTTTAGACCAATTTGCGAACTTAAGAGTTTTAATCGCTTCTTTATCAAAGTCAAAAGAACGAGCATGAATTTTCTACGGTTTGATAAGTAAAATGAATACTACTTAAGTGAGTTTCATTTACTTGATTTTCTTTAAGCGAAACTCCTATAGTTTGAATTCTAATTGATTTTAAACCGTTAAATGGTATTTTATCGCAGATTTGAACTCCAATCAGGGAGTTGCACTTGAACGTGGTTTTGAAATGCACTAAGCCATTGGTGAGTGCTTCCAAGTGCATGATTGAACTTGATACTTGATTTAAATGCTTTGCCAACGTGATCGGATAATATTTGATTGGTTTGGTCGGGTAAGGGTGTACTTTATCGCACTTGCCTTAATGTGATATATTCTTGTTCATTGGTTGCTATTGACTTGATATACATGTATATGACTTGCATACTGTCTGGAATCCCTATGGCTAGTTAATCGAGTCGAGCCGGCAAGGGTCTGGTCGATTAGATAACGAACCCTGGGTATTTAGTTTTGTTGCGTGGAGTGTTATCTCCTCGACTAATTGGTATGCTCGAGTATTACCACCAGTGTTTATCTTGGAGTTCGGGCCCGGTAAGGGGTTTGATTAGTAGATGGAGATTGGAGTTAAGTGGTGTACTACTGGATTGGTTACTTTTCTTGATAGTTGATGGAGTGTCAACTACTACTTGATCAAGTTATGGTGGAGCTAGTTTGTAAAAGCGACTGTATCCTTTTACTTGAAATGTTGAATACTTAATGATTGGATATACGAAGTGTTATTGCTCATTTTCTTGACTTGTTATGCTCGCCACTTTGATACTTTCACTTTTAATTAATGGTCAACTTGCTATTTGGAACCTCACTGAGTTTTACCTCACTCTATTAGTTTTGTTTTCCTTACAGGGGGTACGAGCGAGGGCGTAATACTGGTACAGGCTAGCATAGTCTAGTTTTTGAAATTTTGGCGATTGTACTCGCGCTAATGCTCAATTAGGGTTGATTGTATCTGAAAGTCATATCTTTTGATTTGTTTGGGATTGTATGAATGTTTGAGATAGAAATGAATGTAAATGTACGTTCCAAGTTTGGAAACTGTTATTTCATTGACTCTTGAGGTTGTAAACTATTTCACTTGATGTAAGTGAGCGAGTCCTAGTGAGAGATGGACAGACGGTCGCTAAACCCTGGGGTATGCCCTAGGGGGAGGTGGGGTCGTCACACAAGCTAGCTCTCAAATTTCTTCACTTGAATCAAAGACTTGATTAGAGCACCTTAAAGCTTCAAAATTAGTATTAAACTTTGATTGATACATGAAGGGTGTTGCTAATTTTTCATTTCACATCACAAGGTGTCATAAACGATCAAAACATGTGTTAAAGTGTTTTCATCTAATTAGAGGGATCATTGGTAAAAAAAGATGTAAAGATATAATGAGTCCCCATGGATAGGAACATAGCAGATCTTTTAACTAAACTATTGTCTCAAAAACAACATGATAGTCATGTGACTTCATATAGTCACAGACATATGAGTGATTAGCTTTAGTGCAAGTGGGAGAATGAAAGTATGTATGCCCTAAAGACAATCATTTTTTAGGGATTTTAAATGTACTTGAACTATTTATGCATTAATAAATGACATCTTTATCATATTCATTGCTTGTATATTTACACTTGTATGATAAATTTCCAAGAATAAACTTGGTCAATGAGATCATAAATATTATGATGATGAGGATCATTTGATTAAATATAAATGTTATTCTTAAATATCTAGTCAAAATATTAACAAGATTGGGACATTGTTACTATGGTTAGACTAGCATATACTATGCTGCTTCCATTAGAGAAGTAGTAGATCTCATTTACTATGGTATGTGAGACATCTAAATTAGTATATGAGTGCTTGATAGTATAACTAAGTTCACTAGATGATCCGCATGGAGATTTCTTTTGTACCAAAAAGATTAATTTTTAAATGTCGCTTTATGTAAGTGATCCTTTGATTTAGAATTATCATGGATTGTTATCCTTTGTGTTTATTTTTTGCTCCCGTAAAAGGGAATGGTCAAAACATTAACAAATGGGCATATACTTGAAATAATAAAAGGTAGTGAATAATCTTTAAGAATTTACCATCTCTTGTGAAAGAGGAGTTATCTCATTTATGGCCACTTGTAGAATACAACTCAAGAAATCTTAGTACTAAGTGAATGACTCTTAGAAAGGTTTTTCTAAGTACTTGTTTTTTTAGGAGTTATATTTTGGTACAAGAAAAAGAGCATTAATGATGCAATCTGAGGATCTACATGAGTTCAAGTGGTGATTGAAGCCGAAGGAAGAGTAGAAGGATTCATT